TACTGATGTCAAGGGGAGGGTTATGTTCATTGTCTTTGCAATCTGAGAACCGTGGGTCTGAGGGGAGTGAATTTTGGCTGGAAAACCCTTTTACAAAGACAGCATTATGCACGAACTCAGTATATCGATTTAACCCCAGAAGTGCTTTGATTCAAACCATTTGGGAGACCAGAGCTCAGCCTAATGGGCAACTCATTGTGCATGGCTACTGTTCCCACCCAGCACTGTCTCCTGGAGACACTCTATAGAACATAGCTCAGAAACTACAGACCTATCAAGCCTGTCCAGAATCGGTTGCCTGAAAACGTGGGTGCCTAATGAACCTCTGCAATTTGGGAAAGCTCCATGATCTCACTGTCTGGCCTTGACATCTAGTAAATATGACTCCGTTTTTCCCACCTGCCCAAAGAAGCTATGAGAATCAATACAGAATCGAGAGTAAAGTGTCCATGATACCCTACTCCCCTTTATGTGGGGGTTATAATGATCATAACAGCAGTTTTGTGCAAAATATCTTTATTAATATAACTCACATGTCATACAATTCACCTGTCAAAAGTGTACACTTCAATGGTTTAGTATATTCAGAGTTGTACAGACACCACCACAATCAATACTAAAATATTTTTGTCATCTTAAAAAAAGAAAGTCCATAGTTATTAGCAGTCATTTCCCATTCCTTCCCACCTCACACCTAGCCCCAAGCATCCACCATTTATGGTATATCTATATGGATTTCCTAATTCTAGACATTTTGCTTAAATGGAATCAACTCTATATGGCCATTTGTGACTAGTAATTTCTATTTAGCAAAAGTCCGTCACTACTTCATTTCTTTTTAGGCATAATAATATTCCATTATGTGGTTATATCATATTTTGTTTATCCGTTATCACTTGAGGGATATTTGGGTTGTCTCCGTCTTTTGGTGATAAATAGTGCTGCTATGAACATTGATGTGTGATTTGGGGAATTCTTTGTTTTTGTTTTTAGGGACACATTTTAATTTCTCTTGGATGTATACCTGGGAGTGAAACTGCTAAGTCATATGGTCATTGAGTGAAAACTTTTGAGCACCCGTTTAACAGTGTTTTCCAAAGCAGCTGCCCCAGCTCATACTCGTACCAGCAGTGTCTGGGGGTTCCCATCTCCACATTCTGACCAACTCTCATTACTTATCTCTCTGATTACAGCCATCCTACTGAGTGCAAAATCATGATTTTTGATTTGCATTTCCCTGACAGCAAGTGATGTTGAACATCTTTTCATGTGCTCATAATGAGTCTTTACTTTTTAAAATAATGGTAGGAAATTTAACAGTAAAAAAGATCAGGATATATGGAACTTATAAGCACCAATTATTCTCTATGTATGTCAAGTGAATTTTTCCTTGGAAGGCTTGAAATATGTTCCATCTAAATCCTGACAACCTAAATCCACCAAATTCTCCTAACTCCATTACTATGCCCCAATTGGGCCAAACTCTCTTGCAAAAAAAGACATTTTCTACAAAACTCTCTGCAAAACCAATGAACTCCAAGACCCAGCCAGTGACACTTTCTCCGCATTCAAGGTCATCTAAATTTCACGAGGCTGTGACTCTGTGCAGAGTCTTGCAGGGCACCTTTTGCAAGGCAGTCTCTGTGCCTGGCACCAGGCACCTCCTCCCATAAACATAAACCTCTAGCGAGAAATGTCCTTATGGGTTGTTGTTTAGTCGGTCACCAGAGTGATTTCCACCAACCTCAGGGGCATCTGCCATACTCACAAGGAGTGGGAAGGGAAAAATACAGTGGCCGTGTGGACCTGTTCTGTTCTCTTAAATGTTGATTTAACAGGCTTGCCCAGAGCCGTGGCCACCCCAACATCTACAGAAAGCTCCTCCTCAGTCACAGCCAATTCCCTAAGACGGCTCTGTAGACTGGCTCGTAGTGATCATTGGCTCTGGTACCCAACAAGTCTCCATCAAAGACCCATCCTCACCATCTGCAAAATCCAGGACTTACTTCTTGATCATTCTGAGCTTTGATTTCCTCATCTGTAAAACAAGCTGACCGATAATATGCTGCTCAAAGAGTTGTTGTGAGAATTAATGACATTCTATGAAGCATTGAGCAGAGTACTTAGTACAGAGTAGGACCACAGTTAATGCTATTATCATGGATATTTGTATTACCATTAATGCACTAAGATTTCCTGTTTCCAAGTCTTTACATTTACTGCTCCCCTGTCCAGAATCTTGTCCTGTGCACTTTTCCCAGGCAGTTCCTATTAATCCTCTGAGTAGGCTTATAGAGACCCCTCCAGGAGCCTTTCCTTCCCTGTACCCCCAACAGTTGGTGCCCTCCCATGAGCTCTCAGACACCTGATCTTCCTCTTACTCTGGTCCTTTTACCCTGTCTCTGCTACACGTAGGCTGACTGCATCTTTCCCAGATCCTGTGCTCCTGCCATTAGTGGGAACTCTGTCCTCATGTCTGCCTGCCCCTGAATCTGATGGCCCCTTTGCCATTCTCAAGACTTCCTTAAAAGGAAAAGAAACTCATATTTTCTGAGGGTTACCATGTGCCAGGAATATCCATGTGTCAATTCATATAACAAGCAAGTATTTGCCTGTTCTGAAGATAAGGAACGAGTGGTTAAAAAGGTTAATGAACTTAATTAAGGCACCAGGTCAAGACTGGCACTCAGAGTTGATGCCTTTGGCATCATCTCACAGAGATCCCTTCTGCTTTCCTTATGATCCAGTTCCAAACCATCCACCACCAGTTCCCCAAGGCTCAGCTTGACTACTTCCAGCATGGTGGTGTGGAGAGTAGAAGCATGTTCTCAGATGGCTGAAAGAACGTGTTTCTTCCCTTACCCTTTGTTACCTTATTAAAGTCTGTTCCATTTGCTTCACTGGTTTGGGATGTTTAGAAAGAACTGGGCAAATCCTCCTGGGTCCTTTCTCAGAGAGGAGCATTTGGGTGGGTTAGAATGAGCCTCCAGGGGCTGAGGTCTGGCTGTCAGGGATGGGTCCCCTGAGAAATCACCATTCACAGGGGTGACTAGCAGAGGGAGGTCTGCAGAGAGGCGGAAGACAAAAGTTGTGGTTGTGCCTCTGGCTGACTCTGCAAACTCCACATGTGTTACCCAGGAGGCTTCTTTGTGGTACTGATTCACAGTGGGTGTGTGCCTGAGTGCCACAGCATCCCCCAACATTCTCCCAGCTGTCCCAGCCTGGCCCAGGAAGCAGGACTATTTCCAAATAATCATGCAAGAGGAGCAAAGCAAGGAATTCAACTGCTACTTGATACATGGATCCCATCTGCCTTGACCACTTCTTTTCAGGGAGACTAGCCTCACCCACCAGTGCAAGACCCAGAGCCCATTTTTGTGGTTTAACCAAAGGAGCAAAGAGCCCTGTTTACATTCACTGTCAGATCTCAGGAGCTATCAAACCATGAAAAGATATGAAGGAAATTTAAAATGCATGTTGTGACACGAAAGAAGCCATACTGAAAAGGTTACAGCCTGTAGGATTCCAACTATATGGCATTTTGCAAAGGAAGAACTATGGAGACAGTAAGAAGACCAGTAGTTCCCAGGGACTGGAAGGGAGAAAGGAGGAGAGATGAAGAGATGGAGCAAAGGAAGATTTAGCACAGTGAAACTCTTCTTTTTGACACTGCAGTGATGGGTATGTGGCATTATATATTTGTTAAAACCCACAGAACTGCATACCACAGCTTGAACCTTAATGTAAACAATGGACTTTAGTAACATCCTATTAATATTTCACTCATTGTAGCCAAAGTTCCACGCTTATTCAAGATGTTAACAATAGGGGAAACCGTGTTTGGAGATAGACTCTAACTATCTGATCAATTTCTTTATAATCTAAAACTGTTGTTTAAAAAAAACATACTCTAACATTACTTTTCAAAAATCAATACAAAATAAATTGAGACCATATATATAAGATTCACAGAGTAAAATAACAATAAAGATCAAGTAGGTTTAGAGCCAGAAAAAGGCCTAGAATTGGTCACCCTTACACCAAATATTTATGAGCAATTACAGAGTATGGGGGCAGTAAAAGCACAATGCCATCAGGACACGATGATACAAAGTAGTAATGAGTGGAAAAGGTCGAATAATCCCCTTTGGGATGTGACAGGGGCAGGGGAGGGGACAGACCAGTAATTATTACTGGGTGGGTTTTTATTTTCTTATACTGGTTGATATCATTTTATACTGCTTCTATGATAAGCTCATGTTGCTGTTGTAATAAGAAAATAGAATTAATTTTCTTTTACTCTAATGATGCCACTTCAGAAAATGCTTCCAGACAAAGGTGAGTTTGGAGGCAGGACTATGAGAGCATATGAACTGAAACAGATGGGCAGGTGGCTGGCATGGTCACTGTGCAGAGGGCAGGAACACAGCCGAGAGACTTGTGCACTGCAGGATGTGTCTCTGGTGGCCCCTGAGGACAGGCCCAGTGGCTTCCGTGGTGGGCTTCACTTGGTGGCAGCAGCACCCGACCCCACTAAGCACAGCCAGCCTTGTCATCCCGACGGTTTCTAACATTTGTTCTTTGTGCTGAGTTGCCTCAATAGGTGTTTCACAGAAAATTAATCCCCAAGTATTCGTAGGCACATTTCTATAGTTCAGTGTTTAGATAAATGTTGAATTGAACAAAGAATAATAGAATTTATATAGAACATACTAAAGCCTTTATTATTTTATATTGCAATTTAAAAAATCAGAGAATATAGTGTTTTCCAAAAGTGTTAAAAAAATCTCTCCCCTCCCCTCTTTCTCTCCCTCCCTCCCCCACCTCTTTCTCTCCCTCCCTCCCCCCCT